CCTTTAAGAAAATAGTTAGTCAAAAGGTAAAAAATCTACAAATACACTCATTAATGATAATTAATTATTGTTTTAGATTTTTCTCATACTTTTTTATTGTCTTAAATGGAATATTAGCATTTTTGCTTTACAATCTCTTTTCTTCATAAGCAAAATCTTTTCACTTGATGTATTTTCGTCAAATTTAAGAAAAAAACAAAATACACAGCTGGCATTGGATCATGTACCTGTTATTACACTCTCTAAATAAATAGACACTGTCTTGAAGATTTATGATAAAAGTACATCAAAAAAAAAAATCCTAATCGAAATAAGCAAAATGAGCAAATTATTCTTGGTCGTTTGCATCGGTTTAGTGGTTGTTCTATCCCCAACTCTCAATGCTAAAATGGTGACTAATGGCGATAGGCACTGTGCAATGGCGCAAGGCAAAGTTATAGGGGCTTGCTCGCATCAACTTACAGGACTATCAGCCCCGGATTGTTGTGTTGCAATATCTGAGATATACAAACAAGCAGAGACACTATACGCTCGTCAATATCTATGCATGTGTTTCCAAGAAATTATACGCATACCTCAATATACAAAACTTATCGGTATGCCAAAACACTGTAAACTTCCTGAAGTAATTCCTTATTTCGACCCCAAAACAGATTGTAAAAGGTATTTGCTCTATTTCCATAGAACTTTAAATTGTTAATTCATGTTATGAAAAGGTTAATAGATCTCTGCATAATTTTTTTCTTTTTTTTTGCAGCATTAAGCTCTGAAACATGCTGATCAAATAAAAAAGGCTTGAAGCTAATAAGAAGTTGCAATGAACAATAAAATTATATATGCAGGTTTTACTTTTTGGTTATTTTAATGTACTCCAATTAATCAGAAAGAATAAACATCCAGTTGACTTTATTCGAGAATTGTTATCAGTTCTACATTCAATTTCAACAAAAATGTGAAATTAAATTTAAACCGCAATTATTCTTTGAACTAAAAACAAAAAAGTTAAAAATATATTTGACTAGATTGAGAAATAAAACCAAACAATAATTGATTCAGCTTGTACATTTGGTTACTAATTTAATATTATTGTAATTGTAACTCCCCCAACACATTATACCAAACAGC